ATCTGAGACAACATCACCATCGGGATCGAGATGAACTAAACCGAACACGAAGTTTATTTGTGAAAATGATAAATGATCTAATGTGTGAATATCCTGAGCAGGCAATAACGACCAAAGACATTGGTAGCTTTAACCTAGCCCTCTTATGGGCATCCGTTGGGAATGCAACACCAGCTATCTATTGGACATAAATATAATTGACTCTTAGCGTCTAATTTGATTACGGCACAAAAACGTTCGTTTCTTCCATTTGGTGGAGATCGATTTGTGTGTCCTGGAAGATATATGGTCAAGAATACGATTAAATTTTCGATTCCGTTTGTCTTAGAGCATCTTGATATTCAGTTCTTGAATGACAAGCATCGAGCATTAGCTACACAAAAAATACTCGATTTTCAAATTAGTCGGATAGCATAGCTGCCGAACGGAACTACCCAGCGACCTCAGCCTTGCGTGGTTTTGTAGAGAAGATTATGACGGATCGTACCCGGTCTTAAAAACCGAAATTCCAAACGACCTCACTAGCTAGTAACGTTCCTGAGTTATTCGAAAAGCAACGGACTGCATTCTATTTTGAAATGAATAATACCTTCTCTTGCAGCTCTCATGATGAGAAATCAGATGCACTACTTGCTCTTGAGTTTTGACTTTGCCTTCGTGGTGAAAACTGTATTTCAAAACGACCTTGCTTCTGCATTTTTGTACAATCTCACAACGAGTGTGCTAGGCTACCTAAGCACTTTGTAGCGTCAATTCAATGACATAAGTTACGCGTCATCGTGATTAGTCTATACTCCAAAAGTCTGAGCTCTCTACCAAAAAGAAATACTATTGTTCGATAATTATTAAATGTGGGTCGACAAGATCTCTGTATCAGCCGTTGAATGACGTTTGTCGAATCATCACGCAAAAGCGTGGACGACAATTCAAGCCAATCCCTATTTTCCTTTATCCGATGCCATGTTCCTCCATAACGGTGTCCATACTTTCCCTTAACTCGTGCCCACAGTGTTGACTAATCTGCAGACTGTCACAGAAAGAAGTCGTAATCATCGATGACGCTAAAGAGGGTATGTACAGCTAAGAAATGAATGGACTATAAGACCAACCTATACCAAACAAAGAGACGGTCTTTGTTCGTGCTGCTTCTGAAGTCGGTCTAGTGAAAGTGTATAAAAGGTTGTGCATGCTCAAAGCATTAAGAAGGAATTTTTTTAAGTTAGATTTATTATTTTCAGAATGAAAGTTTTACTCTTGTTTCAACGCGGAAACTTGGCTCTGAACTCAGGTTTATTCTGTTTCCTTTTAGATGAAATAACTTTCTCTAAACGCTCCGATGGGCGTTGTTTTTTCCGATATGTCCAGTATTGTGTTTCTGATATTATTTGTTTTGACACTACTCTTCTCCATCCTGTGTGAATTCTTATTATTTTTGGTTGCCATGTGACATTCTTAGCTAGATTTCATCATCAAGGGAACGGTCACCATCTTCAAGTTATACCATTTCGAGTTTTAATGGGATGCCGCTTGACATCATATAAGTAGAAATCGGCTTTAATATTCAATTTTACTTAAGGCTTCTGGTTTCAGACTTCTATACTGAACTAATGCAACATATTCGTCAGCACGCACCAGTGCATCATCCTAATGTCATTGGTACAAAAGCTTTTTATTTGCGAACCTTTTTAAATCAATACATTTTACAATATCAAAAGAAAAACAAACTCGAGACCTTGTTATTACTGCTGTTCCACTTCATAAGTCTTTGAATCTATTCAGTCGAGTTTGTGACTAAATTTTGACAAGTCTGAGCAGTACCCGATTTAAGTTCCGAAATGACTAAGTAGTATGAAATAATTGTGGTAAAAATCTGAAAGAAAAACATGTGAGTAATCTAATTATAAAGTTAAAAAATTGTAAAGATTTACTGTAAGTACTGTTTCCTTTTTCAGTACCAATATGCCCCAGGTTGATACTCCAATTTCATCGCCGGTAAGACGATTAAGAAACATTAGCATCTAAAATAAAAGACATGTACTTAAAATTGATTAGACACACGTCAGTCCAGATCAGTATCGATATTCGGTACGAGTACCGCTACTCATACATACCTAATACGTATTTGCCCGTACTAGTTTATCAAAACTTCTAAAATGAAGCCAAAAAGTCTCTCTTTGAGCTCTTTCCAGTGAACCGTAGCAGCAACTCGTGTAGTATCCACTTTGATGTCTATATTAGTGCCGTAACCAACGGGCGGACTAAGTCCACTCACGAAATATTTTAACAGTTTTCGCAGCCTAAATTTTTCGTTTGTACACTATAAACTCTTACGAAACAAAAACGCACTATCTCTGACAGTTGCTAAAAATTTCTAGAACAGTGCGCGCCCACTGGGAAAATCCTGGCTGTCCCGCTGGTGTTTATGTGCCTTATCGAAAACTTTTCACTTAAGTATACGGTGGTTAGAAAACACTTTTCCAAAACTCCATGATCGTTGAAAATCCTACTTGTCTAGAAACCATGTCTCACGTTTATGCCCAAAGTCACAGAAATAAAAATCGCAGCTACATTTTAAAAGAGAAATTATTATTGGCTGAATATCGCTCTGGAGCTTGTAGTATAAAAGTTACACCCCAATGATAAAAGTTGTGGAAAATTGCAGAATATCTCACATTACAGAATGATGGAAAAATGTCTGCCATGGATTTTTAAAGAGTAAGATGTTCAGAAATCAAGGACTTTTCGAAAACATTTTCCAGTCGGCATAGAGCTAAGTTCCGATATTGTGGGCATACATATCCCACTCAGTGCTACACAAACCCATCCTCAGGTTTATTAAGAACAAAACAAGTTTGTTCTTAAACTTTACGCCTCTACGTTACCTCAATTTGATCGTGACTCGTAGTGACTCGAAAGCTCATGCTTGAATACATAAAGTTAAACTAATTTAGCTACTAAAAATGATTAAAACGGATTATTTTAAATTACATTACTTGTGCATTGTAATTAATCGAACAGCCAGTGGCTGGTAACTGATATAAATAAGTTAAAGATCCCCGAGTCTAAAAACGAAACCCAAAACACATCGAGCATGCTACAAAAGAATGAAATGGCTACCTACGACTGAATTTAATAGACCAGCTGTAATCGATACGACAAAAATATAAACCATACTGCTAAATGCCCAAGAAACAACCATCACAATCGTCAATGTTCCCAAATCTGGTCGATATGTCCACATAATCGCTATTACATACCACATGAGTAATGCCATAACAATATTTATGCTTAGAGCAAGACTAACGTAGATTTGAAACGCTGAATCTAACGCATGAACAAGTTTTACTATTCCATTAAGAACAATTCGTTTAGAATGTCCAGATAAAATCGTAACTTCTTAAATGCGGCCGAAATTTAAGCCAATTAGTATAAAAGTGGACGCAATTTCGAACGAGTAAATTTGTATGATTCTGCGTTTCCAAATTGCGACCATTTTTTAATTAGTGGGTAATCAACAATCGTAATTTAAAATATAGATAGATAAATTAGTCGATTTTTAGAAAAAATAGAAGTAGAAACATTTATAAGAAGAATTGATGACTATATATTTATGTATTATATACAAAACAGCTATATCAATAAAGAATTTAATCTTCGTCACTACTACCTCCGGCGTCTTTTATAACATCTATATACCGATGAGAAAGAGCTCTTAAAACTTTTTGATATCTATCAAAGTCTTTATCTTCAATATATTTTGTTTTTGCTAATTTAAGCTTCACATCATCACGTATGTTTTTCATTTTTCGTGGTCTTGTTGTACGTTTTTGAGCTTGTTCTTGTTCATAACGACACATAACAGATTCTTCAGATGAACGAACTTCATTAATCCATGTCCAGAGATCCGGATTCGTTCGCACGCGTGCATTTAGTTGTCTATGATAACCTTCTAAGTGATTATTTGTACGCGGCCGTTCACCAACTGAATCAAAATGATTCCACATATCAAATGAAAAACGAGCATCTATCTAAACGGTAATTATTTAAAATATAATCTGTTAATTTATCAAATTTTGAATCAGCATTACATAGTTCATCAATTATTACTTCCATACAATGATTTGAATTTGGTCTTTTGATACTAATGGTAAACTTATAATATTAGCTATCTGACGACGAATATTTTCTTGTTTTGCTAATTTTAGCAAACCATATTTTTTAACTTTTTTCCATACATTCTGAGCGTAGTGAAAATGACAACCCTTAACTAATATTTGTGGAAATACATCATTAATTGCATTAATGGCAGCTTTTTCAAAATCTATTAATATCGACGATGGACTTAAAACAATATTTTTTTGTGCTGCGTCGCCAACTAATGACCGAAGTTAACAAGTATAACCGCTTTGAGATTTATCTTCACAACATGCATATACTATTGGTTTCATACTACATTCATCCCATACATGTATGTAATATGCTTGGTTAAAGAATGCTGGCGATGTACGAAATGTTCCATCAGCATTCCAGTGATGATTTTCACTTAAAAGTTTTATTGCCGATTCTGATCCAAATGCTATAACTTTATGTGGTGTTGGCGAATTACAAAACAAAAATTTGTATTTAGAATTATTATAATACATATCTTGTGGAATTGATAGTGATGTCGGTATTGGAGGTAATATTGTTTTACGAATAGCATATAAAGTTGATTTCCATGCATCGAAAACTGGCACCGTAGCAGCTGTACCATTTTCACGACGCTAAAAAAGACAGAAGCAATCACCTACT